AAGTTATAGGTGTTTTTGGATACATAGGATCGTAATCAATTTACTAGTTGAGTGACCAAACTCTACAAAAAAAAAAAAAAATATATATATATATATATATATATATTAAAAATTAAACTTATTTATTTGAATTAAACAAGCAATAATAATAACACTTACGTCTAGAATCACACATCCCGACTCAACAACAAAACAATTTTTTTCAAACTAAGGTTTCTTAGCCTTTATAGCCGATGATTTGGTATTGAAAGTTATGTTATAGCAGACACTTTCATCAACAAAAAGTCTTTTTCCTTTTCTTACAAGCAGATCTAGTAATTGGGGATTTGGTTATTGAATTAACTTTAGAAACTTCATTCACAAGAGATCTTTTTCCTATTCTAGCGATAAATTTGGTAGTTGGAGATTTGGTTATTGGCTCAACTCTAGAAACTTCATCAATAACAATAGAACTTTTTCCTTTTCTGTCAACAATCTCTCTCGACTAAAAAAAAATCTCTAGTAATTTGTGTATCCTATCCAAATTACCATCTTTTTTCCACTCCTAATTCATGCATCCAAACTTTTCCATTCGGGTTCCGTATTTGCATTTGAAAAACTCTAAAACAAGATAGACAACATATTATCATTATCAAGTTAGATGATTATAAAAATTTAAATTAAAAAAATAAAAGATTTATAGTCATAAACATTCATACCTTTTGATTGAGATTTCTAGGGCATGTCTTATTGTTATGACCTTGTTTAATACACCTTTACCATGTCATCTTCCTTCCTTTTTTACACATATTACTACTACCACTCTTTTTCTCTTATTCTTTTCTTTTCCCATTCTTTTTCTCGTCTTCCAAGCATCTTAACAACTGCTAAAGGTTAAACGAGTGGTAAACCGGCTCTTGGCCAAAACTTCTCTCCATTAATAGGTTCAATAAACTATTGATAAGACTTTATAGACCTATATTTTAAATATCACTCATGAATATATTCTTCAAGTCTCCATCTTTTCAATTTAATTATAATAAATACATGCTCTCAAGGGATACAAGATATCCCACCTCCTACAAATGCACCTTTTTTGCTTCATGTTAACAATAAACCTATCATCCTCGGATATCTAGCTTACATCCTATCCTTTACTCTCATTTCAAAACACTTTAAAATCATAACTTAATTTCTTATTTTTCTCAATCATTGCCTAAAATTAGGTCCAATGGACCCTTAAACTTCTTCTCAACAAATACTCTCCTCGAAATCATCCTACCCATAAATAAATCCTAATATCCTTTAGCATACTCACAATGCTTTTAAACTTAGCTTCGAGTGATAATATCATTAAAGGTCTCATACATATTATTATCTACCATATCACACTTGACTTCGGATCTAAAATAAGTCATACACCACCGATCAAATATGATCCGTTCAAAATCTATCTTTACATTAGGCTTTATCCCCTTCAATAATTTCATGTCTTCTTTTAAGCCTTAGAGTGTGGTGTCTTTATAGCATTTTTAAAATAACGTATGTAATTTGTCACCTTTATGTGTCTTCCTCCAATTAACAAAGATGTGTTTAACACATCTCCTATGTTCTACATTAAGCAAGAACTCGGTTACAACACCTAATAGGCCTTGTATCAAAATTTTTAACAAGCAAATTTAGTCTAATAAAATAAATTTTGAAACTAAAACTAACCTCTAAAGTTGATTTAATTGGTACATGAAATAAAACATTAAAGTGATGCATCACCTTATGAAAATTTGATATGAAAGTCCACCTACTTCCAAAACCCATTAGAATTTTCAAATCAGCCATAATTTAAAGAAAGAACCACTTTTAGGTTTCCTTTATTCCTTCATTACAACTACCCAACAAAGAGAAAATATTTGATTGTTTGCATTCCTACACATAGCCTTTAGAAGTTTACCCTTAAGATGTCATTTGAGGAAGCAACCATCTAAACTTATAATCCTCCTATAACCCTCTAAAAAACCATCCCTCAATTCTTTAAAACCTACATGCATCCTCTCGAAAACTTTCTAGATTCCTACTTATATTTATGGGATAACATTGCTACCTTTATTACCGATCCTTAATTCTACAACATAATCCTTATGTCTATCAAATTTAGATTTTACATTACCTTTAATCTCTACTTTGCACCAATTTTGTTGTACGCCGAGCAAGTGTGAATGAGATTCTCGAACTATAATCCTTCTTAGCTACCTCAACAATTTCCTTTAATGTCATTTTCAAGCAAACTCTATCAAATTTATGAATTAAATGCTTACCCAAAACTTTATAACTCAAAAGATCGTTCTTGTAAATAGTATTATAACTATACTTTGCCACATATGTCTTCACCATTAAGTTTCCAGATTTTCTATATGGAAAAATAAAATTTTAAAAGCTTATTTCTCATCTTTACTGATCGCTCTAACCCTTTTCCTATTATTCTTCTCAAGCTTTACATTCTTCTTATGCTTCAAAGCATGTTTAGTCACCGTATCGATGAACTGTTTCTTACTTGCAAAAATCATTGCAACCGAAAAATGTGTATAAGTTGTATTGGGGTCAAAAAACACCTTCTTGGATTTCTTTCTTTTTACATGCTTCTTATTATCCTCATCACTGCTATCTATACTAACTCTTGCATCGAACTCATATGCATGTTCTCTTTCTATTGTTTCAATCTCCTTTATAAGGACATTCAAGAATTCATCATCATAATAATTTCAAGTCTCATTTCCCTTTATATTTTCATCATCACCCAAGTTTCCCCTCAAATTTTGACTCTCATTTTCGTCCAAATTAACATCCTCACTTCCCTTCAAATTTTAACCCTAATTTCCCTCAAAATTTTGACCTTCGATTTCCTCCAAATTTGAACCAACACCTTCTCTCTTGTGGTTTTCTAACCTAATTTCGTGCTTTTTGTAACTCCTCATCTCCATCATCGGACAACCATTTACAATCAAAAACTTCATCACCATAATCGGACAACCATTTACAATCAAAAACTTCATCATCATAATTTCCAACACATTCACTCTCGGATGTATCAAACTCTTCCCTATCAAACTCATCACCAATAGCGCCTTCATCACCCCAATTATCTCCTCCCAATAAAATATCAACTAAATCATCCTCACCTTCTTCTTTACTATTAACAAACCTAACATTAGTTAAATTTTCAGATTGTTAGAGTATTGGTAAAAAACCCGAACTTACCCTTTTTCTTCTTTCTCTTTCAAATTTTAAACCTTATCTCTTCTTTTATTCTTCCTTTGTATTTTTAATTAGCAATCTTTTTAATTGAACCTCTAATTTCATTATTCTTGAGTGCAATTACTCATATTTGATCAATTTGGCCCAAGTTCCTAATTTTTAATTAATTTTTTCTCTTTTTTTCATCTTTTATTTATTTTCTTCTTCTTCTTTTATTTGTTTTCTTTTAAACCCAAAAAAATTACGAACCTTCTAAAATCCTAAAAACAAAAAAAGTAAAAATTTGTAAAATAAAAGTGGTCAAAATCGAGCCAAAACAAACGTGTTCAATATTACAAATAAGTAAGTTATTATAATAAAAATACTATAATAGACTCTTTAGCATTAAAAATATATTAAATGACAATTCATTGAACACTTGCATACTAATTTATACTAATTATTTTTATATATTTTGAATTAAAAAAATTCATTATAAGTGCAACACATTATTAGGAAAATTATTAACAATAATAATATATTTATTAGGAAAATTATTAACAATAATATAATTGATTTTTAGCATTAAAAACATATTGAAAACTCAACTCATTACATAATGATGGATTAAAAACTTACGTATTAAGTTGCGAGGGTATTTTTATCAAATAAAAGATTATATGCGAGTCATGTGATATTTTCAAGTGATTTGACTAGAAAAAATTGGCTAGAAAGACATATTGAAAATTATTAACAATAATATAATTAACTTTTAGCATTAAAAACATACTGAAAACTCAACTCATTACATAATGATGGATTGAAAACTTAACATATTAAATTGTGACGGTATTTTTATCAAATAAAAGATTATGTGTAGGTCATGCGATATTTTCGGATGATTTGATCGAAAAAAATTAGCTAGAAAGACATATTGAAAACCTACTTAATTAACATGAATATAATCGACTCATTTTATAGTATAAGAACATACCGAAAACTCGAGTACATTATATGAGGAATAGTCAAGCTAGTAACTCTAAATTTTGACTTATTAATTTTTTGGTCTGAAAATAGTTTTTTCCTCTTGTATCTTATTTTTATAATACAATTTATATGATTTAAAATGTATGATTAATGTATAATATAAAATGCTATGTATTATAATGTATTTTCTAGCAATATCATATAAATTAAAACATTATGTACACTAGTATATTAAATTAATATATTTTTTGATATATCATAATCGTATTATTTCCTATATAAAGACATTGGTAATTTATTATTTTCTAATAATATTACATGTTTTAAAGTATTTCATATATATATATATATGAAGTGATGCACAATTTTAGTTTTTGATTTTTTCATGATAAGTGTTTTCTTCTCTTTTAAATAGAAAAACACTCTACTTCCTCTAAAACTTAATATTTTCTTTGACTGAAAAATGAATTCCATTGATATTTTTCGAAGGATAACTAAACACAGTGAAATCAGGAAAAAGCTTTTAACAAAAAAATATCCGGTAAACAAAGAGAGACTTTGGTGACTTTTGTGTCCCTGTGGCTACAAGGACTATTGTTGGCTTGACCTGTTGACCAGGGACGGGCCTTCTCTTCTCCAAATAACTGGCTGTCGCTGGTGTGTTTTCTATTCAGTGACATGTCGTTTCCTCTTTCCGAAAAAATTATAACCAACTTACAACTCGCAAAAACCCTCTTCCCTTCACTCCTAGGGTTCTTCTCATCCCATCTCATCTCATCTCCTTTACTCTGCAAACAATACAGGAAATGAAACTAGCTGGTCTAAAATCAATAGAGAATGCACACGACGAGTCAGTATGGGCAGCCGCATGGATTCCGGCCACCGAAACCCGCCCCGCTCTTCTAATGACCGGCTCACTCGACGAGACAGTGAAGCTTTGGAAACCTGACGAACTCACCCTGGAGCGCACCAACACTGGTCACTGCCTCGGCGTCGTTTCGGTAGCAGCGCATCCTTCCGGCGCCATCGCCGCGTCCGCATCTCTCGATAGCTTCGTTCGAGTGTTCGATGTGGATTCCAACACTAGCATTGCTAATCTTGAAGCCCCTCCTTCTGAAGTTTGGCAAATGCAGTTCGATCCCAAGGTATTTTTTTTTCATTTTTCTTTTTGTTTTGGTTTCAGGTTTAATTTTCATTCCTTTAAGTTTTTGTATAATTGTACTGTAGAGATGGTGTGGCTTATTCATGAGATGCATTATAGCAAGTTTGTTCATTTAATCAGTTATTATTAGGAGTGTTAGTACCTGCTTGCTTTCTAAGAGAGTAATTGTTGGTTTAAGAATGAGCCAATGCTGCTGCACATTTGATAACAGAAAGAATCATAATTTTTGGAGAATACTGTTAATTAGATAGCTTAGTTTACTTATTTTCCATAATTTGATGGATCTTTTGGTTGCACAAACTGGTTATGTCTTTTGTAAACGTTTTGCCTGCCTTTTTCATTTTTCATTTTTTTCCTTCTTTATCATCTACCGGTAATGTTGACAGCTTAGAAGTCATACAAAATGAATTGGCTGCTTCCGTCTGAGAGGGTGACCTGCCAAGTTAGCCAGTACTTAATTAGGTGAAACTAGTTTATCTACCGAGCACCTTACCACTATTTGGTTTCCAATAATGGTTACTTTGGGTTTTCTGTGGATCCTGTAATTGGAAAGTTAATTTTCCTTTTTTCTTTGGATTAAAAATTTAACTGTTTTTAAACACTTGTTACAGTGTAAGTATAAAGATTTGCATTCATTAGCAATAGGTCAATTGCTAGACAAGACTTATTAAACATAGCATTTGCAAAAGCAAAAGAAACATCTGTGCCATAAAATTAACTGGAAGATAGATTGAGAACTTGTTGAACTTTAGTAGATTATATTAATGCTGATCACCTGCTTAGTGCTGCTTGGTATAAAATTCTTCAAGCATCATGTATTTTGGCATCTGTAAATAGCTCTTGGTTTTCTTTAAATTCATGTACTGGGAATTATGTACCATCGTTTATTGAAAGGATTTATTTTCATGCATTTCACTTTAATGGATAAAAAATCCCCGAGGAATCAATCTCCTTCAGAAAGTTCAACTAGTTAGATAGCTGGCAATGTTCCTTTCTTGTTGATTAGATTAGTGGAGGAGGATTGGTGGTTGATATTGCAGTCATCGATTACACAATAGGTATGGATGGAGTGTGGCATACATAACAAACTACCTATTAAAGTAGATCATTTCGGTAGCAATGTTATATGAACTTAGTAATTCAATGTGACATATTTATTGATGTTTTAAGGGTTTTTGTTACAGGAATTGAAATCAAATTCCCATAAATCTATTCTGATCCCTTCATAGAATCAAAAGGGTGTTTTCTACTTATGATTCTTAGATTTCACTCCTTATCATATTGCTTAATTTCACTTGCCTCATTGCTTTTCATGTTCATGAAGCAAATAATTAACCAGGTTAGCTTAGGTATTTAAATATAATTGAAGCCAAATTCAAGTGTTATTATATCTGTAGTATACCAGCTTATGCTTCCTTGTCTCGTGTAAACTGTTATGAATCATGCCCTGAACTAAGATTTTCTTTTTTTCTTTTTTTCTTTTGAGGGGCAAGTTGAAGTAACACAATATTGAGTTTTTAATTTTGAAGCATAAATGCCATAGCGAGCACTACAGTTCCCATCATCTTAAACCTCTTTTGGGTTGAATAACTTTATGAATGGCTATACTCTGCAATTTTATCCCTATCGAGCTCCCTCAGTAATTGAGGGTGTAAGGCATAGTTCAACCAAAGCATATGTTGGCTCTCTGTACATGGAATACTTTGTAATTGAAGTTGAAAATTGGAAACTATGCCAGTATATTTTGTTTGACTTCAAACCAATGCTAACAGTAGCTCTACTTACAGGGTACCACTCTAGCAGTTGCTGGTGGTGGTAGTGCATCAGTCCAGCTTTGGAATACAGACACATGGAAGTTGATTGCTACCCTGTCAATTCCACGTCCAGAAGGACCCAAACCCTCTGATAAGAATAGCAGCAAAAAATTTGTATTATCAGTGGCATGGAGTCCTGATGGGAGACGGGTTGCTTGCGGCTCAATGGATGGCACTATTTCTGTTTTTGATGTAGCTCGGGCCAAGTTTTTACACCATCTAGAAGGTCACTTCATGCCTGTGCGGTCTCTTGTGTATTCCCCTGCTGATCCACGGGTGCTCTTTTCTGCATCGGATGATGCCCATGTGCACATGTATGATGCTGAGGGGAAAACTATGGTAGCAGCCTTGTCAGGTCATGCAAGCTGGGTATTAAGTGTTGATGCAAGCCCTGATGGAGCAGCTGTTGCAACAGGCTCAAGTGACAGAACTGTAAGGCTATGGGATCTTAGCATGCGGGCAGCTGTGCAGACGATGAGCAACCATGGAGATCAAGTTTGGGGAGTGACATTTCGACCACCAGGTGGTCCTGGCCCCCGTGTTGGGCGGCTTGCTAGTGTTTCAGATGACAAGAGCATATCACTTTATGATTATTCCTGAATTAACCTGACTTTTTGGTTGTTAAAACATCAAGGATCTGCTGCTTTTACAAGATTTGCTGCTGCTCTTGTTATTTATCAAATTGATACCAAATTAACGAATGGTTTTAGGTCTGTCACAGAGTTCTGCTTTATTCCTTTTGGCCCATTATGTGGTAAATATTGGTGACCCGAGGTTCAGTCCATAACATTGAGGATTGGATCTCTGCGGATCTGACCATGGTAACACATAATTGGGTTGAGCTAATTAGTATTTACTTTTTCCAGTTGATCATGTCTCTCCTTGACCATCCTATGTGGCCGCGGCATGATTAGCGTTCTGGCCACATAATAGCAAGTTCCATGTTGCATACTTGCACCTGGGGGCTGATTCTGAGAAGAATTTTAGGCAGGGTGTGTCAACATTTAGTCCTGACAATGAATTCGATTTAGTCAGCTTGAAGAAAACTAGCATGTCAAATTCTAAAATTTTTGGTTGAATTTGATGGTCCAATATAGTGTGCAGTTTGTGCAAATATTACTTGTGAATTTAATGTATGAAAAAGGAAAAATATTTTGACTCTTTTTATATTTTTAGACTGTGTATGTTTTTGGTTGATAAAAAATATTGGTTATATGTAAATATTTTTCTACTCTTTTGATTTTTTTTTTTAATATGGTCATATATATATATATATATATATAAAACACAATTCCAAGGTCTAGCCTCCGTCACCAACTCTACCGAGTCGAATACAAGAAAACCTCCCCTTTTATTCTTATTCTCAAACTTAATTTATAGTTGGAATACAAGTTTCATAAAAAAAAAAGTACTAAATAAAAAGATTTAAATCAATTAAAAAAGAAAGTTCAAACCAAATTAGAATTAGACCCCATTATTGAGTCCTTGTAATCATCTTGGCTACAATTATTCAATTAGAATTCATCTGTCTACGCACATAAACTCTTAAAGGATGTTGATCCCTTAAATCCTCCACATCAATAACTATTGCAAAGGATTTTGGTTCATACCATTGGTCACCTCTAGAAGACCAGACCTTGTCCTCAAAGCTAAAATCTAAAAACTAGAGTTTTACCTCATCAATGTCCAACCATTTGGTCAAGTTATTGTACCAAGGGTCCACCATATCCAACGTCTCAAAATTAGCCATATAAATGGCTTCCTCATCCTCACCGAGAATTAAAGCCTCGAGTTGCTTTTGTGGACAATCATGTAAAGGATGATAGGGTTATTTAAAACAAACACATAACTCTTTTCCCCTCGAGTTCTAAAAACTCTTGTTAGGAGAGGCGACATACTAGACGTACGGGTTGTTGTTTGCGTACTATTGAGTCGGCTTGTGAGGATAGAGGAAGTGTCCGACTCATGGCCGTTTGGGTGCAATCCGGTGGACGAGTTTGATGTTCTCCCATAGAGCTAACCTATGGACGAGGAGAAGGTTAATGCGGATATGAGAAAGTGGAAGAATAAGGCGGAGAACCCGTGTACCTTGTAGGAATAGATCGGGACGGGACATATCCCCTAGGAGAAAATCCGATTCAATGAATCTTGCCAAGTCCATAGCTTTGGACGGATTACCGAGGTCATGGATTCGAAGACCGCTTCGGATAATGTCGATCAACCCATTCATGAAGTAGCCCAAGTAGTGAGCTTCGGACAAGCCCGGTACTTGTGTAGCCATGACAATAAAGGTGTCGACATACTCATCGTTAGTTGTCGATTGATGAACTTTGACAAGGTGTTCAAAAGGGCTACCTATTGATAACCATCATACCTAGAGATAAGTTCCCGAGTGAATAAAGGTCATGTTAACCAAGGCTTCCATTGGTGCAACCGACAAAGCTAGTGCAAGGTAGAGCCTTCCATATAAATCATTGCACTTTGAATCTTCTTGTCTTCGGATATATTTTGTAATTCAAAGAATTGTTTGACTCTAGTAAATCAACCAATAGGGTCCACACCTTCAAAAATAGGTAAATCAACATTTTTTGAAGAGTAAAGTGGTTAGACATCGGTTTTGAAAGTGCCGCAAATGATGATGTTTGAGCATTGCTACTATGGTCGGTATCACTAGTTAAAGAGATAAGTTGTTTACCTCTGGACAAGGTTGCCTACTAGGCCATAATGGCCTCTAATTTACTATTAGTTTCAATTTGAAATTGTTCGAATTTAGTAGTGCTATTGGCATGTAAACGCTTAATTTTAGAATCCAAGGAATGGACTCACTCCTCTACCACATCCACATTGGTTTCCATATAGGTCATGATGAATAAAACAGAACTGGAACACTAAAGTTAGATCAAATTGATAAAGGAAATATGATTGCAAAATAAATTAGCAGAATACTTGCTTTATTGAATAACCGAGAAATAGCAACAATTCTCGGGTCAAACCTTGCCAACTCTAGTGAGTCAAATACAAAAAAAATCTATCATTTTATTCTTATTCTCCTACTTAATTTACATTTGGAATACAATTTTTATAAAAGGGAAAGTGCTAAATAAAAGGATTCAAATCAATTAAGAAAGGAAGTTCGGACCAAATCGAATCGAACCCTATGATTCTCTCCTTGTAATCATCCTAGCAGTAATTATTCAATTAGAATTCCTCTTTCTAACCACCTAAACTCTAATGTTGACCCCCGAATCCACCACATCAATGCCGGATTGCAAGGGATTTTGGTTCGTAGCAAGTATTCTCTAATTTTTCTTAACATGGTTTTTCTAATTGTTTTCAGCTAATTTTTTGATAAAAATTAATAGTTGGCATTAAAAAATGTCACGTAGAATGACATGTCGAACTAATTTGCTACAAGGTTAAAAAAATATTTTTGTAAAAATATAAATAAAATAAAAAATTTAGTGTCGGCACCCAACTTCTATCCAAAGTAATTTAATTTAATATGTGAGTTTAAAATAAAATAAAAAAGAAGAATTATTCCAAACAAATCAACACTCGGAATTACAAATTGGGAAAAACTAGGGATCAAAAATAGTATTTGCCCAAAACTCTAATTTTTTTCCTATAAATACCTAGCATCTTTAGCCATTTAAGTCTGGACATGGATCTTAAAAAAGAAAAAAACCTAAAAAACAAAAAAACCAAGCCAAACAACCCATAAGAAAACAGTGACCTAGATACTCGTGGATTGACATGCCGGATCCGTTGAATTTCTTCTTCCAAATCGACCATCCTCCGAGTTGATATTGTTTTTAACCACCACTACCACTACCACCACCACCACCAATCAATAGCCCACACCTAGATCCACCATTCTCAACTAATTAGAGAATGAGGAGATGCTAGATTTGCTCAAAATTGAAGAGAGAAGATTGACGGCCCGACCTATTTAACAACTCGGTCGAATCTCCCAATTTCAACCAAACCACCAACTACCACCACTACAAAGCTCGGTTGTCCTCCTCTTAGAGTGATTCCCCTTTGAAGTCATGACCAAAAGTCACTAGAAAATGGCTTAATTGATGGTGACCCATTTCTCGACTAGTTTTGTGTAACCTAATAAAATCGATTGATTAAGGCCAAATCGGACCCTCTAACCATCACAAGAACACTTCCCATAATCTAATGAGTTGATTGGTGTCTTCAAAATCCCATAATATCACCGAAATCTTCATCAAAAAGAGAGGGAAGAACGATCAAAATTTTAAAGTCGTCGATCTTCCTTCTCCATCAACAACAACTCATGCCGCCGCCACAAATAAGCGAAGCAAGCCTCCCTCCATCGTGTAAGCCCTTCCATGCACTCGGATTTAATCAAAACAAAAGCGAACGATGCTGGACGAGTAGCAATGGGTGTAACACACAAATGAGTTTTTTTGTAATTTTATGTGCATGGGCATTTTAGTCATTTCGTAATCGATGAGGGGTATTTTAGTCATTGTATAATATTTTTTTCAATACCAATAAATGGTTGCTTCCTCTTTCTTGATTGACTAAAATAATTAGTTTTCATCGAGATTGAAAGAAGTAAAACTAATCCGAGAAAGGAACTCGTAACATTTTTATGATATTTGGATAATTTTTAAACTTGTCTGGATTGTTTAAAATGATAAATGACTAATGTAAATGTTGTGTTATGGATGATTGAGTCGTGAAATGCTCGTGATTATATTTGAGATTTTTACATACTCGTTTATTTACCAAAATGTAGTTATCGGGGACTTTTTGCTTATATGATCGAAGCTATATGTGGCTTCCAAATTGATTTACTTGTTGTTTGTTTGTCCAAATTGAACCTATTGATGGCTTCCTACTTATGTTATGGAAGCTATATGTGGCTTGCAAATTAATTTACTTGCTATTTTTTTGTCAAAATTAAAGTTATTGATGGCTTCCTACTCATGTTATGGAAGCTATCTATGGCTTGCAAATTAATTTACTTGCTATCTCGTTTATTTGAATTGAAGTTGTCAATGACTTCCTACTTATGTGGTTAAAACTACATATGGTCTCTAAATCAATTTACTTGTTGTCTATTTATTTGAATTGAAGTTATTGGTGGCTTTCCACCTATATGTATAAAACCTCTAGTGGCTTGTAAATCATTTTACATGCTTTTTGTTTATTCAAAATGAAACTGTTGGTGGCTTTCTACTTATGTGACAAAGTCGCTAGTGATTTTAAAGTTATTTTACATGTTTTTTGTTTGTTTGAAATGTAACTATCAATAACTTCTAACCTATGTGACAAAACTATTAGTAGCTCTTGAACTAGTTTTGTAACACCCCAAACTCAGGACCTCGTAGGCTGAGAATATTACCGTCGTTAACCATATTCGAAGTACAATGAATGTAGGTTAACAAGGCATTGTGATCTGATCGTAGCTTATTTAAAGACGTTTACGTGGTGGGCTTCTAGTAATAACACTTAGGTCCTATTTCTTTATTAAAAAGTTACTATAAATGTTTTTCGACTTTCCTTAAATTGCTTACCTTTATTCATTCACCTTGTTAGGTAGTTATTAGTGTAATTCACTTACTAAATTATTCGTTACTATTTATTTATAATAATTATACAACTATTACTACCGCATTATTTCGTTATTACTAGTTCGATTACACACCTTAGCTATTTACACATAAGACTAATTTTATGCCAATTACTACAAAATTGGTTTATTTGCTTTCACATCGGTATCAAGTCATATCGCTTACTTGTTTAATAGCCTTTACTATTGTATAGGATAGGCTAGCTACATCAAGTACATATAGAACTATAACTCGTAATATAATTAAAATAGCATGCAGTGGGTCTACCCGAAAATCGAATCCCCATCCAAGATATACACGTCAACTGCTTCTTTCGATGGTTAGCTCGCGGAGAAGTAGGCCATAGTGGTTTACTTATCTACACCACAAGAAACTAGATTAGCGATAACTCGGTAAGTTAATGGATGCATGCAATACATGTTCATGTACATGTAGGTATGCAACACCGCTTTATGCAAAGTAAGTCTCCTTTTTCCTCATGTCATAAAACATAAAACAATACGAAAATCTTTTTCTATCTCGAGACATATCCCATTTAGGTACTTCGGGGTTTTCATAATATATGTTCGGTGAATCGGATCCATCTACGGACGCGTGCTACCGAGCTTTTAAAAGTACACATCCGCACTTGTCCGACCCTCCATTACCATTAATGTATGGAAAACCCATGAAGTCCTTTCCTCAAAATCTCAAGTCATGGAAATCTTTTTCTTTAAAATCATTCCGATTTCTATCGGATAACCATGACTTAAAATATTATTCATGAGCTAAGCATGCGTATGCAATTTGCAATAAACCAGCAAGCTATATGAATTCATGAATTCTTACTTAGAGTGGTTATCTAACCAAGTCATAAGAATCGATATAAAATTGAGCAACGATAACGACGATAGGTAACATCAATCCAATATAAACCAACACGAGTCATCATTGGCACATCAATCATCATAACCCAATTCTCATCATCAATCACATTCAAGCATAACCATTATTCATAACCTAATGCATTCATATAGCATTTGAAAGATGAGCTTGGCATTTGTTCATGGTTTTTTATCGAAGTTGCATGGGATGTGTTCTAGTTATCGTAGATGTATTTATGTTAGTTTGAAAATTATGAAGGTTAACTACAATGTTTAATCTAGGTGAGGATGAAATAGCCATATTTGGAGGGGAGAAAGTTAGATGACGATGGACAAGATGAGTTAGAGTTAGATAAGATGAGGTTGGGGTTGAATTAGGAGAGTTTGGTATAATAAAAGATGTAGGTGAAAGAGGTTATGATGATGATAAAACATAGGATAAAGTTTGAAATAAGTAAGTAGGCATACCTAAATACAAGACCAAATTAGTAGGGATTGAGATTGTTAACCATGGTTGAGAATTGTAATTTGTTTACACAATAATATTCCCACTTGAAGTATATGACATCTTAAATGAAAAAGAGTTCTCATTGAATAAAGTATGTATGGTAATATAAACTCTATTAGTTTTGTTAGTACTTAATTTCTAACCTAAGTAATTTAATTAAATATATGAGTTTAAAGAAAGTATATATAAAAAAAGAGAATTATTAAAAAAATAATAATAATTTGGGAGTTTAATTAAAAAAAATACAAAATGTAAGGATCAAAGAAAACTCAATTGAAGATGCAATTGAAAGGATTAAAAC